AAATAATATATAAAAATAATATATAAAAATAATATATAAAAATAATATATAAAAATAATATATAAAAATAATATATAGATTTTTTTAATGTGGTAATTTTAATTAAATAAAACAAAATTAAAATTTTATTAATTTACCTTGCCACCAATTCACTAGATTCAGAAATGGCATAAAGACTATCTTTAGGTGAAGAGTTTTTTGGATCCACATAAAACCATTGTTTTAATACACCATTCGAATCCCAAACACTTAGACCACTATTTTCTTGCCAAAGCATGTAACCCAAGCCAGTTTTTAAACTAGTTGAAAGCATTTTATAACAATCTATTAAAAATAAATTATCATCATGATTATATTCAGGAACGGATTTAATTAATAAACCCAAGTAAACACTATAAATAGGTATTCCAAGTATTGTGGAGAATATGTATAAATTATGTCTGGTAAAAATAACAAATCTTGAACCATGAATAAATATTAAAGGACCTAATATTTCAATAGTTTCAAGATCAATTAAGCCAGTATAATTACGAGGAGAATTTGGGGAAGTTGAATAAACAGTAAAAGATGTTTGAGGAGTTGAAATAAATTTTACAGTGTCTGGCATATTTAAACCCAAGTTTCGTTCGGAATCCATGTCTGGTGATTCTGTATCAGCAACAGAAATAATTTTCATTCTTGAGATGGCAACAAAATTTCCATCCTCAGAAACCGAGAGAAAAATTTCAGAATCTTGAGTATTTGATTTATTGAAACTAGTTTTTTCAATGAATATTGGACGAGAATCACTAACATTACCATCGTCATTACCATTTTCATTTACTAAAGACCAAACCGCCAAAATTCCATCATCATTACACCAACCAGCAATAAATTTATTTCCAGGCGAACAAGCTATTATGGTAAAGTCTTTTATAATATTAGATTCCGATTTAGTATCAAAAGACGAACGTTCATCTTTTGGCGTCTTATCAAGAGACGTAACTGAATCAGTTAACCTTTCAAATATTATTGGAGAGTTTGGGTTTTCCGAGTAATTATGCGTGATATATTTAGTCTTAATCTTATTATTATTCCTTGGTAATTCACCTAATTTATCTTTCGATTCATCCACTTCAATTTGATAATCTGAAGACATTACAGGAGTTATATCCAGGTCAGCTTCTATTATATCAGGATTACTTTCAATGTCTTCCATGTCTCTTGCTTTTTTTTTTTTGGTTAATGTTTTGATGATGGACGGCCTTACTTTAATTATTTAATTTAATGGTAATAATATCGGTTTCTTTGAATAGGAAACAATTGTCTCTACGTTAATTTTTTTTTGGATATGATAGGGAAAAATATGCACGCAAGAGATTCTTATGGATATTCTTTGCTTATTTAATATACGC